CGTGCCCGAGAGGAGCAGGAGCGTGTGGAGCAGGAGAGACAGGAGCTGCAGCAGCTGGACTAGTAGGAGCAGCAGGAGGTGCAGCAGGAGCAGCAGCCGCAGCGGCAGCAGCAGCAGCAGCAGCAGCATCATCCGCCGCAGCAGCAGCAGCAGCAGCAGCCGCAGCCGCCGCAGCAGTTGTCCCCACCATTGAGTGGCCTTCGGGCCCTTGGTCTTCCTTCTTCTCCACCTGTTCGCGCGCAGTCTCCTCCTGTCTTCGGTCCTACGTTTCCTCCTCCGGACGCGTCGCCAGGTGTTTACTCTCCTCCTCGGTCTGCGTCTCCTCCTCCCGTTGTCCCGCACTCTCGCGTCCGTCCCTGCCCTCCGCGTGCTCGTCCCTCATCTCCCGTTGCCGACCTCCGCTCCGCTCTCCTCTGTTCTAGTCGTCGTCGTTCTCCTCCTGCGTCTGTTCTCCCGTCTCCTCCTGCGTCGTCTCTTCCTGTTTCCCCCACTCCTATCTCGGACTACTACCGTGCTGTTCGTCCTATTCTCCCGCGTGTTCTTGCCTCCCTTGTCACCGACCCTCGTGCCTCTCCGTCGTCTGTCTCGGCTCGTACTGCCGCTGTCGCCGACTTTGCTACCACCCGCCGCCTTGACTTCGCCACGCGTGTTGTGGCTGCTCTGCCTGCCCGTCCTCTGTCCGCCGGGGGTGAGTTTTGCCCTTGGCTGTGACGTTCTAGAGGGCAGGCAGTTCGAGCTGGAGTTCTTGGCAGCCGCTTCTCCCTCTCTCTGTACCATGCTGCTCTTCCCTAAGGGAGACCCAGACGCCCTTGACATACCGACTCCTCGCACGTACCGTGAGGCAGTGTCAGAGCAGTGGGCCTCTCAGTGGAAGGCGGCCATGGACTCAGAGATGGCGTCTTGGAGATCCACAGGCACTTACGTCGACGCAGTTCCCCCTCCTCGGGCGAACGTTGTCGATGGCATGTGGCTCTTCAAGGTGAAGCGGCCGCCTGGATCACCACCGATGTTCAATGCGCGTTATGTGGCGAGGGGCTTCAGTCAGCGTGAGGGGGTTGACTTCTTTCAGACCTTCGCCCCGACCCCGAAGATGACTACTCTTCGGGTGTTACTTCACGTAGCAGCACAGCGAGACTACGAGCTGCACTCCCTCGACTTCTCCACTGCTTTCCTTCAGGGACGACTGCACGAGGAGATCTGGCTGCGACGTCCTCCTGGCTTCACTGGCACCTTCCCACCTGGGACCCAGTGGAGCCTGAGGCGACAAGTCTACGGTCTCCGCCAGTCGCCCCGTGAGTGGCACGACACTCTTCGCTCCACGCTTCGTGACCTTGGTTTTCTTCCTTCCTCTGCCGACCCGTCACTGTTTGTTCGCACGGGTTCCACTCCTTTCTTTATATTTGTCTACGTCAATGACCTGGTCTTCGCCACAGCTGACAGGACAGCACTGGCTGAGGTGAAGTCCGAACTGCAGAAGCGACACACGTGCACTGACCTCGGCGAACTGCAGCGCTACCTCGGCCTGCAGATCACAAGGGACACAGCCGCTCGCACCATCACGTTGACTCTGTCACACATGGTGCAGCAGGTCCTTCAGCGGTTCGGGCTTCAGTTCTCCACCACACAGCCCACTCCTCTTGCGGTAGACCACAGACTCACTGGCCCTTTTCCTGACGAGCCCTTTGAGCCTAGTGGTCCCTACCCAGAGCTTGTGGGTTGCCTCATGTACCTGATGACTTGTACGCGTTCGGACCTCGCCTTTCCCCTCAGCATCCTCTCTCGCTTTGTTGCGACTTGGAGACACCGTCCTGTCCACTGGACAGCTGCTGTGAGGGTGGCGAAGTACCTAGCGACTACATCAGGCGTGGGGCTTGTGCTGGGTGGGACACAGCCAGTTGTGCTGACCGGTCACTGCGACTCCTCGTACGCTGACGACGTGGAGACTCAGCGTTCGACTCGGGGTTACTGCTTCAGCTTGGGAGCTGGAGTTGTGTTGTGGAGGTCTACTCGGTTGTCGTCTGTGGCTTCGTCCAGTGCCGAGGCACATATCTACGCTGGTGCCATGGCTGTGCAGGAGCTCCGCTGGTTGACCTTCTTGCTTGCCGACCTTGGTGAGCGGCCTCGCTCTGCTCCGACCCTGTTCGCTCACAACAAGGCCATGATTCTCTTGTGTCGCGAGCCTCGACTGGAGAGCAGGGTTAAGCACATTGACGTGAGATACTTCCTCCTGCGTGAGCTGCAGCGTCGCGGCCAGGCGCGCCTGGGCTTCGTGGCCTCAGAGGCCAACACCGCAGACATCTTCACCAAGGCCTTGGCGCCTAGTGATCACCACATGTTCTGTGTGCAGTTAGGCCTTGTTGATTCAGGTGCTCGCTTGTAGTAGTCTTGCACTTGTTGTTTGCTTTTCTTGTCGTTGGATCTATATATATCTGCGAACTCTTGAACTGGCCTTGTGGCCGTTTTCTTGTGCTCGGAATGCGTGGTGAACTTGAGATCCACCCCCGAGCTTGTTTTGTTTCTTGTCATGACTGGTCTTGTGACCGTTTGTTTGCCTTGCTTGTTCAGATGCCCCTCACTTAGCCTATGGGGGTGTGTCATATGTTATAATTGTAGGCTGCAGTGAGGTGCACTCTAGAATCGCTCAGTAGGAACAGTTGTAAGTCATCGAGCCACGCATCGAACTCTATCGGGCGGCCCTCCGGATCGAAGGTGAGGACGCTGAGAGTTGCCATAGCGGGCAGGGCAGGCGGGCGCGCTAGCAGCAGGGTGGCGCACAGGCAGATCACGGCAGGGCGGCAGCCAGCAGGGCGGCACACGGGCAGGGCAAGGCAGAGCGGGGGCGAGTGGCGCTCAGGCAGGGCGGCGCGGCGGCTAGCGGCGCGCGGGCAAGGCAGGGTGGCGCGGATGCGAGCGTCGTTCTAGCAGGGCAGGGCGGCGCGGCGGATAGCGGCACGCAGGCAGGGCAGGGCGCGCGGCGGCGAGCAGCGCGCGGGCAGGGCGGCGGCGCGGCGGCGGGCAGCGCGCAGGCAGGGCAGGGCGCGCGGCGGCGAGCAGCGCACGGGCAGGGCGGCACGGCGGCGAGCGGCGCGCGGGCAGGGCAGAGCGCGCGGCGGCGAGCAGCGCGCGGGCAGGGCGGCGGCGCTGCGGCGAGCGGCGCACGGGCAGGGCGGCGGCGCGGCGGCGCGGCGGCGGGCAGCGCGCGGGCAGGGCAGGGCACACGGCGGCAAGCAGCGCGCGGGCAGGGCGGCGCCGTGGCGAGCGGTGCGCGGGCAGGGCAGGGCGCGCGACGGCGAGCAGCGCGCGGGCAGGGCGGCGCGGCGCGGCGGCGAGCGGCGCGCGGGCAAGGCGTGCGCGGGCAGCGCGACGCAGGGCAGGGTGTGCACGGGCGGCGCAACGCAAGGCAGGGCGTGCGCGGGGCAGCGCGACGCAGGGCAGGGCAGGGCAGCGCGGCGCTAACAGGGCGGCGCGACGTGTGGGGTAGCGCGATTCGGTGGGCCCTAAAAAAAACGGTCCTAGGCTAGGACCTGCTCTGAAACCATGTCGAAATAGCTGAACGAGGATGAATGAACTAGCAGCAAGATGGGTACAAGTACTAACCCTAAGTGGGTTGTACCCTATATGGGCTACCCCACTACAGCCTATACAACATGCAACATATAAGTATGACAATAACAGGCGATCACGCACCGGCTATATCTACCGACTCGAGCCTATCGGTCCTATCTTGTGGCAGTCGAGCAAGCAAGAGCTAATTGCTCTCTCTTCAGCTGAAGCAGAATACATAGCACTCTGCTCAGCCACCAAGGAAGGGCTGTACCTTCGCGAACTACTGGAAGAAGCAAAACTGGCCCAGTTACCCAGCTTCTCCCTCTTCTGCGACAACCAATCAGCAATTCGCATAGCGAACAAGAACAGGTTCGCGAACCGAACGAAACACATCGCCCTGCGATATTCCTTCTTGAAGGACGAGATCGAGAAAGGAAGACTCGAGCTATCCTACTGCCCCACATCCGAGATGGCAGCAGATTACTTGACCAAGAAACTTGGAAAGCAGAAGTTCGAGTACTGCATGCTGCTGACTGGACAAGGCCACGTCACCAGCAACGACACTCCATAAGCGAAGGGGAGTGTTGGAAACATGTAGTTTGCGCTTCTGATGTGTCGAAGTAGTAAATCGTAAGTGAGGCAGACTACAGCAAAGCAACAGCGAGTCAAACGAAGAAGTTGACAAAAGTAACAGCAAGGAGGTTAAGCGAAGGTCAAAGGTCAGCGACCTTTGACTCATCGAAAGGCAGCGCGACAGCAAGGACAACCAACTGACTCACTACTGAGCAGTTGCCCGAGTCGCAGCTGTATCGAATCGCATCAGCAACAGTTAGTTATGTCTTTTCATATTCTTTTGTAATCATATAAAGCCTTGTACTACTTTACTATAATCAATCTATCTTGCTCTCACACACTAGTGCAAGGTGGTTCAACCAGTTCACTACAACGCTTCCGCAATTACATCATCACTTCGAGTCTTAGCCTTGAAACGATCCTAAGGGCTTTTATCAGCCCAACAACGACCTGTACCCGAACTGACGCTTGACCGTAAAAAAATCTTGGGCATTGCGTACGACTTGACTCCACTGGGCGCCACTTGGACTTCTTGATTCGCAGGACCAACCGCACCAGCAAGGACGACACATGGGTGCCATCCAGGCCCTCAGATTCGTTTTTGGCCTGTCTGATTTGTCAGACTTGTCTACAGTTTTGTCTGAAACTGTCAGAGTCGGTTTTTATAAAAAGCTGAAATTTCAGAGTCACCATAAAAAAAACTCTGAAACGTTCAGACTCATCCTCACTGGGAGTCTGATCTGTTTGTGATTGGCCTTCGTTGAACTACATTAGATTGGCCTACAACATTTGACATTAGACTAGACTAGACTAGCCTACATTAGACAGTTGTAACTACCTTACAGACTCTACATCCTTCCTACCTATCTAAGTTATCCACCCTACTCATCAAATCCATCATTATCATCACTGTCAGATGCATCATTATCCTCTTCTATGTCTTCTACTTCCATCACCTCATCTGCCAGCTTGGCCTTGTTCTGATGCTTTCCTGCAGGCGGGAGTGGAGCGTTGCTGTGGGGCTTGTGCTTCTTGTAGGCCCTCCAGATTGTCACAATCTCCTCCCACTTGGGCTCGTAATCCATGAGACTCATGCACATGAGATCTCCGAGCCGTGCGTCCTTCAGCGCGCCTCTCTGCCATGACTTGATAATGTTCTGCCTGGAGAACCCCCGCTCGCACTCCACATTGCTCAGCGGCAGTGCAGCTACCGACACCCACAAAAGCACAAGGTTGGGGTAGTTGTCCGCCAATCGGGTGTCTTGAGCATGGCTGTGAGCCTTGCGTGGAAGCTGCGCTCGCCCTTGGTAGAGGCTGCAAGCACTGAGGTGAACATGCGCAACTCCTTCTCTGCACGGCGCTTGTTGACTCCTGGAGGGGTTGGGAAAAGGATATCAAAAGAACAAAATGTGTACACAAGTACAAACATACATTGAAGAGTAGCACATCACACAAACAGAGCAACGATGAAGCATGATATAACGGCCATTCAATAGGCTTACCTGGCGGTATCTCTTCCGTCAGGTCGGCCTTGAACAAAGTCACAAGCGACCGTAGCCACTGAAGGCACCTCCGATTCCTCTCTACTCGATCCAGCGGGTACTCGTCTGGGATGAATAGCTTTGCCCCAGACATCCCTTCCAGGTCGCCAAGCCGATGCTCGAGTTGGTGAACGATCACCTCCGTGAACTCCGTGCAGACCTCCACGCAGTCATCGTGGGTCCCGCGCCCTTCGAACTCCTCCAGCTCGTCCTCATGCAGCCTGAAGGTGAAGCGTGCAGGACGGCCGTCTGAGTCAACCCCTTCGACTTTCACCTCCCGGTTTCCACCTGGCCCATGGCACGCAATGAAGGGGGACAGCAGCTCGCTCACGCCGCCACCGAAGTCGTCGCCGCAATCAACGTAGCGGCTCTCGATGTGGGACGTTGTGCGCTTGATCTGCGCATGCACGCTCGCATAGTCAAGCAGGACAGAAACAAGACAGATGGTAGTTAGTGGCAATTGACGGTAAACATGCAGGATTATAGCAGAATGGCCACCGCACAAAACAAAAATGATAGAAAACAATGAGCTTACTCACTTCCTTGTGCTGGAACGCCCTGTTCAGGATGTTGAGCTGCTCAAGCACGTCTGCAATGAAGAAAGGAAGGAAATGAAACTTGTAACTTGTCACAAGAGCATACAGCTTTGCGTCCCACTCCTTCAGCATCACGATGAGAGCCGGAAGCACAGCAACAAGCCTAAGCACTGCGTCGCCCCGTGAAAGCCAGCGGACGGAATGAATGCCCTGGAGCTCAAGAGAAGTGGAAGCGAAAACTTCTTGGAGCCCCATGAACCGTTGGTGCCATGGCCCTGAACGGTCAAGATGCTCTGCCACGGTGCGGATCACCATGTCAATGACATTGAACGCCGGAATCTTCTCGGCGGCTGTTTTAGCCGCCGGTCCCTCCCTGTACAACAAAAATAGTAACATTAGTATATCGGGAAGGTCAACAAACTTAAAAAACGCACGGCAAGTTTATGCAACAACCGACATACCTGTGCGCGATACAGTGGGATGACACCAGATGGGGGATGCGCAGGCGGAGGCGGGTGGTGAGGCCAGACTTGCTGCCCATCATGACGTTGGCACCGTCGGTGCTGATCCCCGCGATGCGCTGAAGGTCGATCCCGACTGCCTGCAGATGCGACAGCAGAATACGCAGAAGAGAAGCGGCGTCGGCCTTCTCCACGATAAGTAACGCCATGAACTCCGTGACAAGCTTGTTGTCACGGATGAACGTGACAAAGAGGATCAGGTGCTTCCCGCTGCACCTATCCGTGCTCTCGTCAATCGAGATGCCGACGAAGGGCGATGCCAGCACGTGTTCCAGCTGGGTTGTCTGGAGCCATGTCGCAGTCGCTTGCGTCAGCTCACCGAAGCCGTATCTGCACATGGGAACAACAGTGAGAACATTAGTATAGAAATAAAACATTGACCTACCGATGTGTATTAAATAGCTTCCGGCAGTTGCACTCACGTGGTGTAATAGGTGCCGTACCCCTTCTTCGGGAAGCCAGGCACGCCCTTCTCCGCCAGGTAACGCACCAACCTCACCCACATCCCCATGGGCGCGTCGGACCTGCTGATGAACAGCAATGAGTCGAGAAGGGCGACGATGCGCATCTGCTCTCCGTCCACTGTGGCGCGATGCTGGTCAATCTGCGGCTGCCTCGCACCGCACTCCTGCACAGCCGTTTGTCTCGCCATCGCCAGCTTGTGCTTCGCCGTGCCCGCGTGCTTACGAAAAGACTGGGTCTGCAAGTTAGTGGAGCCTTTCCCGCGTCTCCCGCACTTGCCTCCGTCGCCAGCATGAGCTGCACAAACAGTACACTTGAAGGCAGGCAACCCCGATGTGGTTTTAGTGATTTGAAGCCAGGTAAAGCGTGCTTGCCAGAGACTCTTGAACTTGTCAATTGCATCATCGTAGAGTCCTTCAATGAGCTCGGCCATGTTTATGGTAAGGCGAGGACGCGGACGCTCGGACGAGCCGGGCGAGTTGTAGACGGCGGCAGACAAGGATGAAGGCTTGGCGAAGCTCAAGGTCGCCTGCTTGAGCCGGATGGTTCGCGCCGTGGTCTCAGTGGGATGGTGCGATGCCGAAGCGACATTTGGTTCCGCAGCTGTCTCTGCCACAGGGTCGAGATCAGAGATGACGGGTGCTGAAGGTTCCTTATGGGAGTGGATAGAATCGGGCTCAGGGCGTGCTGCTTTCTCGAGTTCTAGATGACTGAGCAAAAAATCTAAGCCTGTTAACGCAGGCTGTGAATCAGGGTCGTCGTCATCGCAGGGTGCGGGATTGTCGGGCTGAGCCATGGCGGGGATCTGAGAGAGCCTGCCGAGCAGGAACGAGAGGACAAAGAGGCTGCTGAACTGGGCACTGGATGGGCCCAGTGAGTAGAAGCTGAGCTGAGAGGTGTGGATGAAACCCTAGCTCGTAGAGGAAGGCCCTATAACACACTATGGGCCATCCATGAGTTGGGTGGGTGATGGTTGCCTAGCATGCACGGCAACGACGAGGCGCGTCTGCCGTGCAATGCTGTGAGGAATGTTTCGTGTGTGGATGTTGCAGCATCGTGGTACACGATGCTGCCTAAAGGACCAATCAAATGCTTTGGGTGTGTGCCAACAGGTCTTGTTGGCACCGTCTGCTTGCCATCACCTTTATGTGGGTGGCAACTGCTGCAGCGTCTTGTACAGGGGTGGTGGTGGAGTTCGTGATGGCAGGCAAAAGCTGCCAAACGCACCAATCAGTGCTCAGGGAGGGTGTGAGCTGGAGCTTACACCGAGGGAAACAACGCGCCGCAGGGCGGGTGAAACATCCAGCTGTACGAGGGAAACATCGGGCCGCAGGGCGGCGGTACAGGTACAATGTATGTACCACCGCTAATCCTGGGTGTCGGCACGCAGGTAGATTCAATCAGAGTCGGAACTCGTTTGTACTCTGAATTCATCAGAGTACACTCCCGAAAAAGTCTGAAATGTCAGAGTCAGCTTATAAACAAAATCTGATTTTCACAGAGTTGAGGCAATAAAAATTATGAATTTCACAGAGTACACCCTAAAAAAAATCTGAAATCTCAGACTTTTACAAGCAAATCAGACAAAAAACTCTCACTTCTGGGGGCCTGGTGCCATCCGCCTCGCTTGAATCACCTTCGTTGCTTCGCGATTATCTCACCCGGAAGCGTGTTGCGGATATTGAATAGTGTAAGGAAAACCCCCTTTTCCTTACTAGGGTTTATTGTTTCGCGTACAACCCATACTTTTCGGAAGTGCATGTTCGGCCGGTTTGCTTGCTGCCGAAGCAACCTCGCGTCGCCTTCGGTTTCCCTTCGCCCAACCTGCGCCCAGACTCGTGTTCCCTAGGTTGACCTGCTAAATAATCGAGTGCCTTTCATTGTACCATATCGTCAGTTGATTTAGTCTCAAGCTTCGTTATTCGTTTTTTTCGCGCAACTCGGACAATCTCACCTTTGTTGGTGCAACCCTACGGTTTGCATTCGGCTTGTTGTCCGTGTGCGTGCATGCGTGTGTGCATGGAATGGTATGAGGGCATGAAATAATATATATTTCATGTTTACAATAGTGTGTGTATGATGAAGCATGATTTTGAATGTGTGCGTCGAGTCAATAGCGAGTTATCGCTAGTCGCGAGTCACGTCGTCGTTTGCGTGTCGTGTGCGGTTTTCTATTTTGTCGTGTGTGGAACGTTCGGCGTGTCGCAGGTGTGCGCAGCAGACTTCCAAGAACTCAAGGAAGAATTTACCTTGAAGAACCAGAGCCTTGGTTTCAAGATTCAAGTTATTTCGAAGCTCTCCAAAAGGGTAAACTTTAAGATAGTGAGAATAGTTGCATTACTTTGTGTAGTGTAACATTTCTCTTGGTGTAGGCCCTTGTGGAGGGTAGTTTCGAGACCCTTCGTGGTTGGGGACAGTGTGGCACTGTTCCACATCACTGTACCTCGGCTCTTGGGGTTTGTAGGAGCTGGGAGTCATTCCCAACTCGTAACTCTTCCTATCTTGTGTTCTAAGACTATAGTGGCTGCCATAGTACCGTTCGTTCAAACCGACGCTGTGTCGTCAATTCTTTATGAAATCGTGCAATCTAAATTGCTTATTGTAGGCGACGTCAAGACGCTCCAGATCCAATTTGAATCAAGTCATTTGCAGCTGTGAGCAGAACGCTATCAACGTTTGAAGCCGCTGTGCAGAAATCCGTCTGTGCACTCTATCTTTCGTTTTAGGCACATTCAAGGCTATTGTGACTATAACAAGTGGTATCAGAGCCCCTTGGAGCAGTTTCGACAATGGATGGACCTGAAGAAAGGGGTGGCAGAGTTGCTGGTGGCAGTGGAGAAGCCCAAGCTCAAGGCCAACCCCGTGATTCAGCCATGGCGCCCATGCAACCAAGTCTTGGCCCACCTAGGGATGAGCCTAGGGTGTTTGGGCTTGACAAGTTCAACGGTGACAACTTTGCTGAATGGTCCTTCAAGATGGAGAACATCTTTGACCACTATGACCTGCTGGAGGTGATGGAAGGAACGGAGAAGCGCCCCGAGAACGACCCGGAGAAGAGCCCGTGGGTGCGGAAGAGCGCACAAGGCTATCTCCTATTTGGGCAAGCGTTGGGGAGCAGCCAGATCCGTCACATCAAACCATTCCAGCGTGAACCAGAGAAGGGACCAAAGGCATGGGCTGCTCTCAAGGGTGTACATGCTCCTGCAACAGCGGCGGTAGCGGTGGTGTTGGAACGGCAAATGGCGGCACTACGAATTGAAGAAGACGAAGCGGTTGAAGAAGGGGTGCAGAAATTCTTCGACTTGTTGACGCGGCTTGAGGGAGCTGATTTGAACTACAGTGAGCTCCAAAAGAAGACCAAGTTGCTGGCCTTACTCCCAGAGTCATGGTCCTCTCTCATCATCAACCTCAATCGTGACTTGCCCCACCTCTCGCTCGAAGACGTGAAGCGAGCGATCCTTCAAGAGGATTTCCGTCGCCGTGAGTTGGCGAGTGCGGATGGCGCCGGGGCAGCAAGCATCGGCCGTGGATATGGCCGTGGAAAGGGCAGAGGACGAGGAGGAGGAAGGTTTGGAGGCAGCAACTTCAACGGAGGCCGCGGGAGTAGCGGATACGGCAATGACAACAAGAACAACGGACGCGGTCGCGGACGGTTCGACGGCGAGTGTCATTTTTGCCACAAGAGCGGACACATGTGGCGCGATTGCTACAAACTCCCTGATGGATGGACTCCTGCTCAAGGCCAAGAGGGTAGAGGAGCAGGAGGAGGGAGAGGAAGAGGCCGTGGAGGCCGTGGCGGTCGCGGAGGTGGTGCTGCAAGTATGAAGAGTGCCGGCAACGAGAGCGAGTCGAGGGACGATCGCTTCCCGGGTCAATTCTTCTTCGTGTCCACGCAAGCACCGGCTGGTCCAGAGAATGATGAAAGCTTTGAGGAGCCAGCAGCTGTGGGGAAGGTCACCCTACACTCCCTGGACTACTGGGTGATCGATAGCGGCGCTACCTATAGCATGACACCTCGTGCGGACTTGCTCACCGAACTTGAGCCGTCACCGGTGAAGCATGTGACATCGGCTTTGGGGCAGCGAGCAGAGGTGAAAGGCATGGGCAAGGCCATGTTCAAGGGTGCTGATGGGAAGATGGTGGGCCTCAAGAACGTGCTTTGGGTGCCCAACCTTGCTGCCAACCTGATTTCCGTGCGGCGGTTGCAAAAGGCCGGCATGGACACGAGCTCGAAAGGAGCTAAGACCTACACCGCGAGGCTTGGCGAGCAGATTCTTTGGGACCTTCACGAGGATAGGGATGTCTACAACGAGATGTGGCAAATCCCTGTGGTCCCCATGCCTAAGGAGAGGCAAGTGGCAGCAAGCATCAGCACCAAGGGTGAAGCGGTTGGTAGCGGCGATGGCGCGAACGGTCGCGCTAAGGAGATAAAGTCCAAGAAGTGCAATCTTGGAGGGACCAGCAAGCTCGGTGAACATGAGGAGAGTGGTGCAGCAGCTCAGAAGCAGCACAAGGGTGAGGAGAACCCCAAGGCAGCAGCGGAGGAGGAGTACGGAGAGAACATGTGGGGCACTATTGCGAGTGCGGCATTCTCCAATCCGACTTCGGCTACGGGGGAGTGTGATTGGCTCACCTTGCATCGGCGAATGGGGCATGTGGCCCTGCCCATCTTGCAGCAGCTAGTGAAGAATGAGATGGTTGCTGGTATACGTGTGAAGGGGGAGCCCGATGAGGTACTTGGCTGCCCGACGTGCATGCAAGCCAAGTTCACCCGTTTCCCGTTCTCTAGTTCGGAGGCAACGGCTAAGGCACCACTTGATGAGGTGGTGATGGACGTGGTGGGCCCCCTGAAGCTTGGAGCTGCTGGAGCTGAGTACTTTCTCACCATTGTGGACGTCTACACTCACATGACTTGGGTGTACGTGCTGTCCAAGAAGAGTGACGTGGCTGAAACGGTGAAGACCGATTGGTTGCCGATGGTGGAGCGGCAACAAGACCGGCTAGTGAAGGCAATCCGCACCGATCGAGGGGGAGAGTTCTTGAGCAAGGAGTTTGGATTGTGGCTGAAGAAGAATGGCATAAGGCACTCCCTTACCATGCCATACTCCCCTGCAATGAACGGCATTGCCGAGCGAGCGAACCGGACAATCACGGAGACGGCGCGCGGGTTGCTCATTGAAGCCGGGCTACCCGAATATTTCTGGCCTGATGCGGTGCGGAGTGCATGTGTGGCCAAGAACAGAGCTTTGACTCATGTGGGAGCAGACAAATGGGTGCCCTATGTGGAGTGGATTGGAAGGAAGCCAAAGGTGGATATGCTTCGGGTGTTCGGGTGCATGTGCATGGCGCTCGTGCCTAAGCATCTTCGGCACAACAAGCTCGGTGCCAAGGCGATATGGGCTGTGCACTTGGGCATGGCTCAAAACAGCAAGGGGTGGCTTCTTTGGGACCCATTCACCAAGAAATTCTTGGTGAGCAGGGACTGCAAATTCATGGAGAATCTGATGTACAAGGATTGGAAGGCGGAGAATGAGGCGAAGATAGGCGTGCGGTTGGGGGACGTGAAGAGTTCCGGTTTGGAGCATGTGGAGCTGCCCTTGGAGCTGAGCAGCGGCAGCACCACCACAAGGCAATCTTCCCTTGTGAATGGGGGAGAGGAGGCCAAGGATGCAGAGGAAGAAGAGGAGGAGGTTCAGCAAGTGAGCGAGCGTGCACCGACACTTCCTTCTCGCACTACGAGTGCTCCACGGATCCGAGTCACCCCGCAGCAACGCCAAGGCCTTCATGTCCCTGCAGCTGAGGAAGAAGGAAGGGGCAAAAGGAGAATCCAAGCCCCAAATAGGCTGACCTATGAGGCACTCGGAAAGCCAGCCAAGTCAGCCTTGGCCGGAGCGGCACTTATAGTTGGAGAAGACGAGGAGAGTGACTACGAGGAGTGTGCCTTCGCGTTCTTCTCTCCGGTGGAGATGCCGGGGGAACCAGCAACTCTCAAGGAGGCCTTGGAGAGTAGTGATGCTGAGGAGTGGAAGAAGGCAATGGAGAGTGAGCTGAAGAGCATTGAGGAGAACGGCACATGGGAATTGGTGGAGCTACCGGAGGGGCGTAAGGCGATTACGTCCAAGTGGCTCTTCAAGATCAAGTCCGACGCCGACGGCAAGATCGAGCGCTACAAGTCTAGGCTTGTGGCGAAGGGGTACCAGCAGAAGGAGAAGGTGGACTATAAGGAGTTGTTTGCTCCTGTGGTGAAGCCGACGACGCTGCGAACCCTACTCGCGGGAGCTGCCATCAAAGGATGGGTGGTGAAACAAATGGATGTCACAACGGCATTCCTCAATGGCGTCCTTGAGGAAGAGATTTTCATGGCGCAGCCAGAGGGGTTTGATGATGGTAGTGGCAGAGTTTTGAGGCTGAAGAAGGCCCTTTATGGACTGAAGCAGGCCCCTAGGCAGTGGTACTTGAAGCTGCGAGGAGTTTTGGAGGAGATCGGCTTCACTCCCTCAACGGCCGATCACTCATTGTTCATGCTTGGCGAGGGGGAGCAGAGGAGCTTCATGGTGGTGTACGTGGATGACATCCTCATCTTTTCACCCTCATCTGACCTTGTGAAGGAGGTGATGCTGAAGCTTCAGGACAAGTTTAAGTGTAAGGCCCTTGGTGACGTCAACTTCTACCTTGGGCTTCACATTGAACGTGATGTGGAGAAGCGGTGCATGCGGGTGCATCAACGGAAGTACCTGGGGGCATTGGCTGCCAACTTTGGGCAGAGTGAAGGCCATGTGGCTACACCCTTTCCCTCTGGTTTCAAGTGTGTGAAGGGACCAGAGGAGGAGAGCGTTGGTGAAGAGGAGAGGCGCCGTTTTCACTCGTTGGTGGGCAGCCTCATGTACGCGGCGGTAAACACCCGACCGGACGTCGCGTTTGCTACCGGACAGTTGGCTAGGGTTGTTCAATGCCCTAATGAGGAGCAGGTAGCAGCTGGAATGAGAGTGGCCAAGTATCTTGGCCAAACACCGACCGTTGGGCTGCAATATTCGGCGGCGGCGCAAAGGCGCCAAAAGGGCGCGGATGGTGTTGAACCCGGGCGTTTGTTCCTCACCGCATTCTCGGATGCTTCTTTTGCATCAGAACCAGAGGACATGACAAGTGTTGGAGGGTTCATTTGCTGTGTTGGTGGAGGCCCAACTGCTTGGGAGAGCAAGAAGCAGGTGGATCAAGCATTGAGCTCGGTGGAGTCCGAGTATATGGCACTCTTCCGTGCCGTACGGGAGATTGTGTGGCAGCGGCGTTTGTTGGCTGAATTGGGGGAGGAGCAGCAAGGACCTACCCCACTCTACTGTGACAGCCAGGGTGCCATTGCTCTTGCTAAGAACCCTGTGTTGCATGGCCTCACCAAGCACATGAGGGTGAAGTGGCATTGGACGAGGAGCATGGTGGCCGCGGGTGAAGTTGAGTTGCACTATGTGAAGACGACAAGGCAGCCAGCTGACATGATGACCAAGAGGCTGGTGGAGCAGCAGCATTGGAAGTGTTGCAAGCTGGCTGGGATGGCTCTGAACTGAGAGAGCAAGATCCTAAGGCCAACAATCCGAGGGGGAGTTTGTTGGTGCAACCCTACGGTTTGCATTCGGCTTGTTGTCCGTGTGCGTGCATGCGTGTGTGCATGGAATGGTATGAGGGCATGAAATAATATATATTTCATGTTTACAATAGTGTGTGTATGATGAAGCATGATTTTGAATGTGTGCGTCGAGTCAATAGCGAGTTATCGCTAGTCGCGAGTCACGTCGTCGTTTGCGTGTCGTGTGCGGTTTTCTATTTTGTCGTGTGTGGAACGTTCGGCGTGTCGCAGGTGTGCGCAGCAGACTTCCAAGAACTCAAGGAAGAATTTACCTTGAAGAACCAGAGCCTTGGTTTCAAGATTCAAGTTATTTCGAAGCTCTCCAAAAGGGTAAACTTTAAGATAGTGAGAATAGTTGCATTACTTTGTGTAGTGTAACATTTCTCTTGGTGTAGGCCCTTGTGGAGGGTAGTTTCGAGACCCTTCGTGGTTGGGGACAGTGTGGCACTGTTCCACATCACTGTACCTCGGCTCTTGGGGTTTGTAGGAGCTGGGAGTCATTCCCAACTCGTAACTCTTCCTATCTTGTGTTCTAAGACTATAGTGGCTGCCATAGTACCGTTCGTTCAAACCGACGCTGTGTCGTCAATTCTTTATGAAATCGTGCAATCTAAATTGCTTATTGTAGGCGACGTCAAGACGCTCCAGATCCAATTTGAATCAAGTCATTTGCAGCTGTGAGCAGAACGCTATCAACGTTTGAAGCCGCTGTGCAGAAATCCGTCTGTGCACTCTATCTTTCGTTTTAGGCACATTCAAGGCTATTGTGACTATAACAACCTTAACACCTTGACACGTTAGTTTTGCTCTTTCATTTACACGTGTAACAGTTATCATACATTCTGCGCTCTCTAGAACCTAACGCATAACACAACCTGTTAGCACTGGTACGGTAAAAGGTTTGAGTAACATTATTGAGATACTATGATGGACACATTCTGAAGCACAATGCTCGACCATACGTTGAAAACATTTGATAAGGACGTACCATTTATCCATGGCATATTCCAATAAGAATTTGTAATGGCAGAATGCACGTATGAAAATGGAATGAACGCTCCTATAGACGACCTTTCCTGCGAAAGAATCTTCACTTGGTCGTACAACCCAAATGCTGTCCAGAGTAATGTTTCACACTCAGTCTGCGAGCATGCAGAGATGGAATTCCACCGTATGCCGCTCCATGCCTTGTTCCTCACAACAGTTGACAGATTCTTTTGGCTGTTAATAATCTCCTTCAAGCATCTGCTTGCATATGTGTTGTTATTCGGCAGCAGGTTACCAATCATGGCTGCTACATAGTCAAAGGGCGTGTGGAAGAGGAAGAGCGGTGTGGAGGTGTTGTGAAGAGTGTACTGCGGGAAGAAGCACCGCCACTGCTGTGCCGGCCTCGCTGCTGTGTTGGGGGAGGGGGGAGAAGGGGGCGAGGCAGGGGGGTCTGGGCAGGTGAGGTAGCATGGGGGCAGATGAGGTAGCATGGGGGCAGATGAGGTAGCATGGGGGCAGATGAGGTAGCATGGGGGCAGATGAGGTAGCATGGGGGCAGATGAGGTAGCATGGGGGCAGATGAGGTAGCATGGGGGCAGATGAGGTAGCATGGGGGCAGATGAGGTAGCATGGGGGCAGATGAGGTAGCATGGGGGCAGATGAGGTAGCATGGGGGCAGATGAGGTAGCATGGGGGCAGATGAGGTAGCATGGGGGCAGATGAGGTAGCATGGGGGCAGATGAGGTAGCATGGGGGCAGATGAGGTAGCATGGGGGCAGATGAGGTAGCATGGGGGCAGATGAGGTAGCATGGGGGCAGATGAGGTAGCATGGGGGCAGATGAGGTAGCATGGGGGCAGATGAGGTAGCATGGGGGCAGATGAGGTAGCATGGGGGCAGATGAGGTAGCATGGGGGCAGATGAGGTAGCATGGGGGCAGATGAGGTAGCATGGGGGCAGATGAGGTAGCATGGGGGCAGATGAGGTAGCATGGGGGCAGATGAGGTAGCATGGGGGCAGATGAGGTAGCATGGGGGCAGATGAGGTAGCATGGGGGCAGATGAGGTAGCATGGGAGCAGATGAGGTAGCATGGGGGCAGATGAGGTAGCATGGGGGCAGATGAGGTAGCATGGGGGCAGATGAGGTAGCATGGGGGCAGATGAGGTAGCATGGGGGCAGATGAGGTAGCATGGGGGCAGATGAGGTAGCATGGGGGCAGATGAGGTAGCATGGGGGCAGATGAGGTAGCATGGGAGCAGATGAGGTAGCATGGGAGCAGATGAGGTACCATAGGGGCAGGTGGGGTTGGAGGGGCGATGCAGTGCGGTGAGGTTCTGAGCCAGCGAGCGAAAGGTGTAGTTCATAGCGCGGTCACGTGTGTCTGTGGGGGGGAAGTCCGACAGGGTTGATGGATTGTTGTTGCACGACAGAGGAAGGAAGAGATAGATGAAGAAGACACAAGAAGTGGCCTTGAGTGTTGCACGAGGTGATCAAGCTGTGCGTGCCTCGTTCAAACACTCTGTGCACTGCTGGAGAGAGCGCACTCACTGCACCTCACTGTGTCCAAACAGGTTACTAGCTGGTGAGGTTAGCCAACCGCTCCCATAAATAACATGCGAAAAGCACACCCTCACACGCCCAAAATAGGTGAGACGAAACGATATAGGTGAGAGGAGGGGAGAGGCCGGACGAGGTCAAGGAGGGGCGAAAGGGAGAGCGGGAAATGGGGACCTAGTGGTGAGTGGCTGGTGCCATGGCAGTATGAGGTTGAAGACACCGCGTGCACTGCAGACAGCAAAGGGGGCACACGCAGAGCACAGTGGAGTGGGCGAGCGGGTGGCGCACCTTGAATCACGGCCTGAATGATGTTCCACCCGTCCAGGTAAATGGCTGACGTCGTGGATGCGGATGACTTCGTTGACCCGGTTGACTTGGTTGACTTGGTGGAATTGGAAGGGCTCGTTGAGTTGGCAGCGGCGCTTGCGTTCGGAGGGACAGCAGCAGCAGCAGAGACGTTGAGCGCACCCCTGGTGCCGGCGTACCCGCCCCCATCGCAGTAGATGAGGCGCACGAGGTTCCACTGGTACATCGCGGGGTTCTGCTGCGCGCTGCCCGACAGAATGCCCTCGAACGGCGGCCTCAGCTGCGCCGCCTGCAGCCGCGCGGGAGAGGGGGGAGGCGGAAGGAGGGTGGGGGGGGAGGACAGAGGAGGGGGGGGTGGAAATTGTGAGGGGCACGCGTACTAAGCGGATCGGAAGACGGCATGCCGTGATGGGGGGATGAGCGAGGCGGAATGGGGATGGAGATATTTGCACCAATTTGGGATAAAAAAAGGTCGACAGAGAAGGACTCATTTTCGCAAGAATCAGAAGAAAGCAAGGCTTGAATAAAGGACAAGGGAGTGGGGAACATTAGGGGAGAGGAGCGAAAAGAAGAATACAGGAACAGTGTTCGAACGCCCCCCCCGTTCGAACGCCCCCCCCCCCCCCCCGTGACTGGCGGAGTCGGGAGGTCTCACATAGTGCGCGGGGTTGGCGGGGAAGCTCTTGCTTGACCCCAGGCGCGTGCCGGCTCTGGCGGCGCAGTCGGCGGGGGTGACGCACCACGCGCCTCCGGGCAGGTAGATGTGCCACCGGAGACGGCCCGTTGCCGCGCCTGGGCGGAAGTAGTACCCGGGGGGACTGCGCGGGCCGAGGTAGAGGGGAAAGGTAAGGGAACGGGGTGTTTGAGGTTTCTGGGCGGGTCGAAGGCGCTGGAAGGCGGAAGTGGCGGCTGCGCCGACCAGCTGCTCCGCGTGGCGGCAACTCCTGCGGGTGGCTGAGCTGCCAGAGAGCCCACGGCGCGTCGCCACTGTGTGCACGCGGGGACATGGCGAGGGGGGTGACGGGAGGGCGGAAGAGTGCGACGGGGAGTCAGCGAGGAGGGAAGACGTCGCAGACCAGCTGGAAGGAGGGGGAAGAAGGGACGGGAAAACGCAGCGTACGGGTGTTCCTTTCCAACGTCCGCGATTTGAGCAGAGCCACACTCGGCTCGCGACCAGCCACGATCGCACCACGACAGGGTGGGCGCGCGTGCAAGGAGTGGAGGCCCACTCTTTCGGCGTCGAGGGGCTGTCGAGTGGATATGGGGTGCCTGTAAATCCTATCGCGCCTGAGGGCGCGGATGAGTGGTCCGGCGAACGCAGGATAATTGAGTGCACGGGAGCCCGCGAGATGCCAGTGTGCTTACGCAAGCAGCCGGGGTAAGCTGTTCAGCGTGCGACTACCATGGTGGGAAGAGACTCGATTTCCATTTAGTCAGCCGCGAGCTTGCTCCTTCCGCAACCTCCGACAACTCTCGCAACCTCCGTCGCGACTATTATAAACCTTTCGCTGCGGACAGCTGGCTGGCTAGTAAGTACCTTCCGTCGAGGCATTTAGCGCCGAACGTGTTGTTCGCAAGCAGGACGAGCGTGGCGTTTGGTGTCACTGCTGGCTGCGCCTTCCGCAACTGCCGCCGCGGAGTGCCAGCTGTCGAGCAAACGGGAGTGGCGATGAGTGCAACTGTGAGGGGAAGGAGCAGCGAGAGCTGCCTAATACACATGACTTGGGGCGGAAGAATCAGGGCCAACCACGCGACTGTGCTGCCTGTAAGTGAGTCTAGACCGAACGTGAGATGTTATCCTCTTCTCAAGGCGACCCAGTGACTCACGATGACAATGACGATTCTACTCTCCATGTGGCTGGAGAGTAGAGTGTCTCGAGAGGACACTGAGTGAGTGGTCGGTGAGGCAGCATCTGTTGTGTTGAAAATGCCGAGCGCAGAAACTCATATCAAAACTCAGAATGCACTATCCGCGGCTCGGTTCAACTCAATTAGCGGCGCGAGCGAAAAAACTACTGTCGTACTTCTATCGCCTGCTGGTGTTAGCGGAGGACCTAGAGAAGAGCGACGAACGCCTGTTGGTGCAGAAGTTCGTAAGGGGATTGGACGAAGAGCTGCGACCTGTGGTACACACGGGGGTATATGGGATAAGAGTGGACGTCACCTTGAAGGAAGTGTACGGAGTCGCGAAACGCACAGAGCACGCCCAAAGGCTGCTAGAGTTGGACGACGGACCGGCGAAGCAGAAGGACCGAACCAGCTAGGCAGCCGCCGCCGTGCCAGAAGGAGAGAAGAACACGAGGGAGCTCGCGGACCCAAGGAGATGCCACACCTGCGGGGAGTTAGGGCACTTGAAGCGAGACTGCCCGAGCGCCCCGACCTGCGAAGGATGTGGGAGAAGGGGGCACCGCGCGAACGATTGCTACCATGGAAGGGCGGGAGCAGATGGGAGGTCGAAGGAGGACTTGCAGGCTGGAATCAGGAAGCTGCAGGCACGGCTGGAGCGGATGCCGAAGCCAGGAGCCAGTAGCCAAGCGATGCTGGCCATCGAAGAGTTCGCTGAGGAAGAGTTGCCAGAGGAGGAATTGGTACGAGAATATGGATTTATGGCGCACCCACGAGAGAGGAGCGATATTGACTTAAGACCAAGGCCGGAGAGGTCGGAGGAGTCAAGCACGAGAGTTCGCAGGGAACGGGGGCAAGCCCGAAGGGAAGGAGCTACGAGCAGCGAGATGCGGAGACACCCTAACGAGAGAATGGTGTGCCAGGCTTCAGTCCTGATCGTGGAGAAGGGCAGCCTGACTGTAGGAGGATTGCCAGTCGGGCAAGGGATCATCGATACAGGTGCGTATCATGTCATCGTCGGGAAGGGCTTGGCGAAGCAGCTGAGGCTCGATCCGCCGGAAATGCAAGAAGAGAGCCTCCTACTAATGATGGCAGAAGGGGGGGAGCCGAAGTGGATGCCCAGTACCAAGAGGCCCGTGGAGATTATGCTATTGCCGGGCACGGAGAAAGAATGTTATATCCGTCTGAAGTGTGGAGTGTCACAATCGGAGGATTATGACGTGTTGGTGGGAATGGAGATGCTGTACAAGGTGGGGGCAACGATATGTACATGGCAGGAGAAGGTGCTGTACCGAGCGCAATATTGGGATCCAGAAAGCTCGGTAGGAACATTGCCGGTGCTCTTCGTGAAGCAAGAACCCAGAGCCGCCTACAGTGCTGAGGAAGCCGATCTGTCCAAGGAACTAGACGACTGGACGTGGTAGGAGTACGCCAAAGAAGGCCAGAGGAGGATCGAACTGTACAAGGCAGGGAGGAAAGTAACCGATCCGAAGGAGCGCGTGAGCAAGACTTGGTGCTTAGACGGGGCCTTATGCATCCTAGAATTGTATGGAGGCATTGGGACCGGGCTAGCAGCCGCGCTGAAGGCCGGATGTTTCGTGGGACGATGGATACACGTGGAAAAGGACCCCGTAGTGCATAAGATGGCGAGGCATCACGCACTCAAACGCCTAGAAGAATATCCGCAACAGATGTTGATAAGGGCTATCCCAACCCAGGAAGAGGTAACAGTACACGATGTGAGAGACATCACCGAGCAAGTGCTGGAGAAATGGGGGCCGATTGACTTGGTGGTGGCAGGATGGGAGTGTCAAGGCTATTCAAGAGCAGGGGAAGGGAGGGGAATGGAAGACCCCAGAGGAGCTTCTTTCCGAGACCTGGAGAGAGTGCTGCGCATGCTACAACAGAAGGAGAGAGAGGTGGTATTCATCCTGGAGAATGTGGACATGGCTGACGACAAGCGGGAGCCAGTGAAGCGGGCGTTCGAGGAGAAACAGGCCGTGCTAGGCAGAGGGGTGCCAGTAGACGCGGCGCAACTGGGGTCCAGAGCTCATCGGCCGAGGAGGTATTGGCAGAATGGAGTATTAGAAGCCCTCCTGAGGCACTCATTGGCTCAGATGCAGAGGCCACATCCTCAGCTGGTGAAAGACATATTGGGACCAAATAGGGTCCCAGCACCTGTGACGATCGAAGACCACCCAACCGAGTACCAGTGTAATGTAACGGGGGAGCCCAGGAGAGCGTGGCCGACCCTCGTCTCGTTTGCAGATGCGAGGGACTTCGTGCTGGAGGGCAACCTGCCGGGCTGAGGGATGGTATACGACTCCCGCGCGCGAAGATGGGAAGCACCGACGGCAGAAGAAAGGGAATTGGCGATGGGGCATAAGTGGGGGGCGACGGCGCATCCGGAAGTGACCGAAGCACCGAGGAGAGCTGCCTTGGGGAGGGCGATGGACCTGAATGTGATGACATGGATTCTAGAAACCATCCGCATGCACCTGAAAACGAAGGCGGTGCAACGAGAACTGGAGGGTAGCCTGCGCTACCAAGACGAGAGAGAAGCAGCGTGGAGGAGGCAGCAGCTGGAGAGCATCGAGGCCCAGCGCACCGAGAGGATGGTGGAGGGATGGTCCTTTATGGCGATAGAAGCAGGCCAGGAGAACGGAGGCGGGGCGAAGGGAGTACAGGAGCCCAAAGTAGAAGGAGCACATGGAACGGAGGAGACGGAATGGGAGATATGCGATGGGTTGGGGGCAGCAGCTGCAATAGCGCTGAAGGAAGTCCTGCTGGAACACAGAGGAACGTTTGCATTCACACTGAAAGAGCTCGGTCACTGTAAGGTGCAAGAGATGCGCATAGTGCTCAACAGCGAGGCGCCTGTGTATCACCGCGAAAGAAGGATGAGCCCGGGGGACGTGGAGGTGTGCGCGGCGAAGTGCAAGGAGCTACTAGACGCGGGGCTGATCCAGAGATCAGAAAGTGAGTACGCGGCAGCGACAGTGGTGGCAGCTCGGACTGACATCACGGGGGATGTATCCGCCAGACGCATGTGCGGGGAATACCGAGGGTTAAACAGGGTGACGGTGCCGGACAGGTACCCAATGCAGTCCGCGGAGGAGATATTTGATAAGCTACACAGAGCTACAGTGTTCTCCACCCTGGACCTGAGGCAAGGCTTCAATCAGATCGTCATCAAGGAAGAGGACCGCAAGAAAACGGCTTTCCATGGCCCGGATGGACAGTACGAATGGAAAGTGATGCCATTCGGCATGAGGAACGCGCTGGCAGTGTTCCAACACACCATGGACACCATGCTGAGGGGAGTGCCTGCGGCAGCCTGCTACATAGACGATGTGATCGTGTTCAGCGCATCAGAGGAAGAACATGTGAAGGACGTACATGCCACCTTAGAGGCAATCAGAGAAGCGGGTCTGACTTGCCACCCGAAGAAATGCAAGTTCGGGCAGAGAACGGTGCAGTATCTGGGTTTTGAAGTGGGAGATGGGAAGCTGGGAGTGCAGGAGGCGAAGGTGGAGGTGCTGGATAGAGTCCCAACCCCCACTGACCGATCTTCGCTGAGAGCAGTACTGGGGTTCCTTGGGTATTATCGGCGCTTCGTGCCGAACTTCAGCAGGACGGCAGATGTGCTGAATAAGCTACTGCGGGAGGAACAGAAGTGGCAGTGGGGAGAGGAAGAGCAGAAGGCATTGATGCAGCTGACCCAGGCGGTAAAGACAGCTACGGTCTTAGCGTTGACGAGCAAGGAGGACCCTTTTGTGCTGTACACGGACTGGAGCAGCGCGGGAATGGGGGCGATCTTATGGCAGGACAAAGACAAGGAAGAAAGGGTGGTGGCTTTTGCGAGCCGCAGCTGCAACCCCGCCGAGGCTAACTATAGCTCGTATGAGGGGGAAGGATTGGCAGCAGTGTGGGCAATCACACATTTCCGAGTGTATCTCCAAGGGAGGCCGTTCACGCTAGTGACCGACCATCAGCCATTTACGTGGCTGATGACGAACCAAGGGCTCACGGGGAGGAATGCCAGAGGGGCCATGAGGCTGCAGGAGTATGACTTCACCATCAAGCACAGGCCGGGCAAGAACATGCAGCATGTAGACGGCCTCTCGCGGAATCCAGCACTGGAGAGACGTACCGCATGCCTCGTGGCGATGGCGCAAAACATCGACCAGGAAGGAGCGAGGAAAGGCAAGGAGAGAGGACCGGAGGATGTGTGGGAGGACCAAGAAGTACTGCGGTGGGTACAGGGAAAGACGGGAGAGGAAAGAGACGTACCGGAAAGGGTGAGGGCAAGAGGAGCTCACTACAGATGGTACCAAGATCAGCTACAGGTGAACACGAGGGAGGGATGGAAAGTGGTGCCAGAACCATCCCAGAGAGAAGGCCTTATTGCGCGGGTGCATCGGCAGCTAGGACACTATGGGGAACTAAGGACACTACAACTGGTGGGAACTTCGTGGTGGTGGGCAGGAATGCGTAGACAAGTGAGGGAGTGGGTGGGAAGTTGTGAGCTCTGCAGCAAGAGCAAGGATGAACTAGATAGGGGAAGACAAGAGCTACAATCACTCCCAATATATGGACAGGGGTTCCGGTGGTCATTGGAGTTAGCAGGGGAAATGCCGCTGAGCCGGAGAGGAAAAAGGTATATCCTCATCATAATAGAACACGGCAGCAAGTGGGTGGAGGTGAAGGCGCTCCCGAGCAAGAATTCAGCCAGAATTGCTGAGGCATTCGAGGAGCAAGTTTTGACTCGGTTCGGGGCTTGTGGGGAAGTGCTGACTGATCAAGGGACTGAATTCCAAGGGCAATTCGACCAACTGCTGAGAGAGACAGGCATCACTCACAGGAGGACCTCT